GAATTGATTTACCACGCGCGCCAGCATCAGTGGTGCGCTCGGTTATTAATGGCATAGAATTACCGCCATATATTTGCCTCTCACACACACACACACACACACACTCACTCACTCGCTCACACTCACACTCACTCACACTCACGCGCACACACACTCATACACACACACACACACTCACACACACACACACACACACACTCACTCACTCGCTCACACTCACACTCACTCACACTCACACACCCACACACTCACTCACACACACACACACTCACACACACACACAGGACGGCCTCCTCTGAAGGCCGCACACACAAACGCTTATTTTTACAGTTTCGTGTAATTCATCAGTTTCATCTGAATGTGCTTCACTGGCCTGATGAATAACTGCACATGTTCTGCCACAGTCAGTTCACATCTAATGCCATTCAAACCCGGTTAACTGGATCAGGGTTCATCAAATCAGAAAAATGAAAAATTACGATAAATGGTTTTAAAATAAAAATGGATCAAAATAAAATATTGAGAAATTTATTTAAATTAATTAAATTATAGAAATGCAAAATTAAAATAAGTAATTTTAAAAATAAAAACAATCCAAATAAAACACTTACTAAAAATGAAATTAAAATGTAAAATTAAAATAACCATTTTTAAAAAAGAAATAAAAAAATTTTTTAATAAATAATTTAAAAAATAAAACTAATCAAAATAAACACTTACTAAAAATGACATGATAAAAATGTAAAAATAAAATAAATAATAAAAAAAAAAATTTTAATCAAAATAAAACACTTACTAAAAATTAAATAAAAATTTAACATTACAACTGTTTTTAAAATAAAACTAATCAAAATAAACACTAAAACTGCATGATAAAAATGTAACAAAATTTTTGAAATAAATTAATATTTTAAAAAACTATCAAAATAAAACACTAAAAAATATGTTGCATGTCATGTGACCATTAATGTCAGAGACCGTTAACATAGAAATGTGCTATTAAATTATTGAAATATTAACCAGTTGTGAAATGTGTGAAATGAGTGTTTCATTTTGGAGGATCTACTGCTCTCCTCTTTTAGGTTTCATTATGACTTTAAATGTGAACTATAAGAAAACATGAATAGTTTCTCTGCAGGAGACAGACAGGAGGAGAGTTTCTGAGGCGATCAGGAGCTCATTACAGTGATTTAATAAATCAGACTGTGACAGTGAGAGTCGGTCGGACTCACCGATGCAGTGCGAGCCGTCCAGCGCCGTGTCGAAGCCCACCGGACACCTGCAGAAGTAGCTGCCGATGGTGTTGGAGCACTGACCTGCACTGCACAGGCCCGGGATCTGAGAGCACTCGTCAATGTCTGAGAGACACAAAACCCATCAGATCATCACGCTTAAACCTGCTGCTCTCACACAAACACCTTCACCATCACAACCACACCTGTGAAGCTGGCGGTACAACTACTTACCTGCATGCAAGATCTTCTGGATAATAATGACTGCAGTAGTAACTGACATCTACACAACTGTTTAAACGCTTGGGGTCGGTAAGATTTTTTTAAGGTTTCTGAAAGAAGTCTCTTACATATGGAAGAGGATTAGGGCCAAGAAATAGTAAAAAAAAAATAAAACCATCTAGAGATTAAAGTCATTATAGTGCGAGATTAAACTCATTAAATTACAAGAAAAATTTCAAAATTAAATGTTGAGAATAAACTCATTAAATTACGAGAAAAAAGTTGTGTTTCGAGAAAAAACTCGTTAGATTTCGAGAAAAAAAGCCGAAATTAAATGTTGAGAACAAACTCATTAAATAACGAGAAAAAAGTCGTTGTGTTTCGAGAAAAAAACTCGTTAAATTTCAAGAAAAAAAGCCAAAATTAAATGTTGAGAACAAACTCATTAAATTACGAGAAAAAAGTCATTGTGTTTCGAGAAAAAAACTCGTTAAATTTCGAGAAAAAAAGCCGAAATTAAATGTTGAGAACAAACTCATTAAATAACGAGAAAAAAGTCGTGTTTCGAGAAAAAAACTCGTTAAATTTCAAGAAACAAAGCCAAAATTAAATGTTGAGAACAAACTCATTAAATTACGAGAAAAAAGTTGTTGTGTTTCGAGAAAAAAGACCAGAACACTTTTTCACTGGAGGAAGAGTTATTATGGATTATGGACTCAATGTATTTGAGTTAAAAACGTCTTAATGCTGGATTTGTTTCAGCTTTTGTCTTCTCCAGATGTTAACTGATGGACTGGAGTGCTGTGGATTACTTGTGGATTATTGTGATGTTTTTATCAGCTGTTTGGACTCTCATTCTGACGGCACCCATTCACTGCAGAGCATCCATTGCTGAGACACTGATGCAGTGCTACATTTCTACAAATCTGATGAAGAATTGTCAGTAAGTGAAATAAAGTTTTCTCAACAAGCTCATTTGGAATCCAAATCGAGCCTCAAGTCAAATTTTTCAACTCAAAACTCAGATTCTGTCTCTCAGACTACTAACGAGAGCAACGGGCCATCATCTACACAACCCTGCAGCTGCGGGACGCTGCGTTTGAAGGGGTTTTGCTGTGTGATGTGAATTATTGAGCAATATGAACGTCAGATTTACTGTCAGACGACTGACCGCAGCATCTCTGCAGTGAAATACGACTTGACTAATAATGGACAACAGTCTGAGTTTGGCTCTCGCGCTGGTGCTTTCCAGAGCTCTGGGCCATTATTTCTGGGAATGGGGCGGGTACGGATCTCACACACACACACACACACACTCACACACTCTCTCTCACAC